AACACACACACACACACACACACACACACGCAGGGATTGATGAGAGTCGTGATTACAGCAATATTTAATTCAGTACTTCCTCAGCCTGAGTCTGATGATTTTTATGGTTGGCATTTTTACAAATCAGCTCTGGTTGAGTTAAACCGGAGCAGTGGAGCTTTTTCTGGAGCTTTTCCTGGAGCTAACCGAGCAGCTCGGACCCGACTCGTCTCGACCACAACAGTTTCCGGACAGATGAACCGAGCACCGCCTCGAACCTGGCTCGACACGAGTCCAAACTGTTTCCGGGGAGGTGAACCAAGAGCTCTGACCCGACAGCAGCCGGTGAGTTAGCGAACTGACATGTATGAGTCTGAAGCATTCAGGTGACGCTGTTTTGGGTTCATTTAGACTTCAGATTCGTGGGACCTGATTCAGTGCCAGGACTCGAATCATTAACTCGAGTAGCTCAGGAACCGACCAGCTCTAGCTGTTGCACCAAGTGGACGGACATGAATCATGGCTCCAACACCAGAGATGTCAATTGAAAGAAAGGAGAGGATTATCAAACTCTTAAGAGGGTAAATCATCTTGCAGTGTTGCAAAAGATGTTAGTTGTTCACAGTCAGCTGTTTCTAAAATCTGGACCAAATATAAACAACATGGGAAGGTTGTTAAAGACAATCATACTGGAAGACCAAGGAAGACATCAAAGTGTCAAGACAGAGAACTTAAAGCAATATGTCTCCAAAACAGAAAATACACAACGAAACAAATGAGGAATGAATGGGAGGAAACTGGAGTCAACGTCTGTGACCGAACTGAAAAAGCACGCCCAAAGGAAATGGGATTTACCATAAAGAAAACCTAAACAAAAGCCATCATTAACACCTAAAAAAAGTTACAATGGGTTAATGGATTCCAACCAATATCAGCAGATTCTGGAGACCAATGTCCAGGAATCAAGCTGGAGCTGCTGAAGCCGGGGCTGCATCTTCCAACAAGACAACCTCCCTAAACACTGCTCAAAATCTACTGAGGCCTTCATGCAGAGGAACAAGTACAACGTTCTGGAAAGGCCATCTCAGTCCACAGACCTGAGTATAATTGAAAATATGTGGCGTCACTTAAAGAGAGCTGTCCATGCTCAGAAAGAAGAATGGTCTAATAGACCTTCAGCCACAATCCAGACTCTCATTAGAAGCTGTAGGAAGTGCTTACAGGCTGTTATTTCTGTGAAAGGAGGAGCTAATAAATATTGACGTAAGGTTTTTATGGTGCCCAAATTTATGCACCTGTCTAATTTTGTTCAGACAATTATTGCACACTTTCTCTAAATCATATAAACTTCATTTCACTTCTCAAATATCACTGTGTTTGTCCCCTATATGATATATTTAACTGATATTTTTAATCCAAACAGTCAATGATTTATAAAGGTAAATCAGGAAAATTATCAAGGCTGCCCAAACGTTCTCACCCCACTGTAATACTGCTGTGAGAAATAGTTGCAGTTCAAAAATCATCTTCAGATCACAGTATGATAATACACACTTGAAATAAAAATACCGTTAAAAAGGAAAATCATGCAACAGAAAATGTTAATGATTACTTTCTTTTTTTGTTTTTTTTTTAATGAAGATTAAAGTAGATTGTCATGTCAGCATTATCTGCATGACAAGGACAGATTATTGAAAGCTAAACAGAATCTGTCTCTAAGAAAACATTTTCAGAACAAAGTTCAGTTAGTTATGAAACATGACCAGTTGTGGGCAAAAGTTCATGTCTGCTCACAGTCATTCATGCTACAAATCTAAACACTTCTTTTGATTAGATTAATCCTATTAGACCTACAAGACCACAACCCCCAACCATTCCTGACCCCTCACTTAACGCTCACCATCTTCTGTCTAAACCTCCCCTCTCTGAATTATCCTCCCTCCCCTACGAAGCACAGCACATGACAAACACTTGATGTACTAGCTGAGTTCTACTCCAACAATATGCCTACACTCACTGGAACATGTCATCCATATTCCACACAGATTGTTTAGATAAGGTTAGTGCTTGGCGTAGGAAACTGAACCAACCTGTATATAGCCCTCTTGTCAGAATCAAGCTGAGCCTGGGAGTCAAGGGTCACACTGACAGAGGTATTTCCTGCTGCAGAGGCTGCTGGGATGTTGACCTGTGGGGTCTTGTTGTTCTGCTGCGTGGTGCCTGTCATCTGATAACAAAGAGAGTCATTACAAAGTAATTCAGATTTACATGGTAAAGTGATGGTTGAACTAAACAAACWACCAGATAAAAATATAGCAGGTAGCCCTCTGCACAATACAAAACAATCAAAAATTCCCATTATTTGCCAGAATGACAAATTTCTTCTTTAAAATGAGTTCTCATTCAAATAGGTCATGTTGTTATAATCTTGTGTAGAATTTAAATGTGAAAACATTCATGATGAACTACAAACGCTTGAAAATAACCTGCTCACAGAATGAAAATTGGAAGTTTTATGGGAAAACCAAAAATTAAAAATAAAATGGAGACACACCCTTGCTATAGTCTTGAGCAGTGGTTCCCAAACTTTTTATCTTCTGACCCACAAAATATTCATGGCAAAAACTTGTGACCCCAAATATTACTG